AAAGCCTCCGGAGCAGTCCATTTGATCGGAAATTTCCCAGATGAATTATCGTTAGCCGGCGAATGAGCTTTTTTGGCTAGGCCAAAGTCGCTCACTTTCGCAACATAGTCCTCATCCAACAAAACATTACGTGCAGCCAAATCTCGGTGGACAATCTGACGGCTTTCAAGGTAACACATTCCATCACAGATATCACTAAAACAAAAATATAACATAGATTTTCACAACCCGTGTGCTATTCTTTGCCTCGGCCAAACGATTTGCTAGGCGTGACTTTGACTCCAATGTCACATTTAGCTACAACAACAATGTTCTCTCCCAGATAGAAAGTATACTGCCGAAACCTCAACAAATAATGTCAATACAGCTCCTTGAACTTCTCTTCGTCAACCATGCCCGTGATTTAGAATTCGACGAACACCACTCATCGTTTTGCACTTTAGAGTTCTTTTCGCCCTCTATTTATTGATAAGAAATCATGATATTGCTTCATCTCGCTCTATTTCGCCCAACTGGATGTTCTTTGAATGGTGAACTAAAACTGAAGCGGGGGAATGGAGTCCGCAAGCCTGCACTGAAGCCAAATATCAGACCCAAGGGAGCGTGCTGTAAGAAGTGCGCCTCATTAAACACGTTGGCGACGATGCATCCTCCAAATAAGGGCCACATTTCCCCCTGCCATAATAGATATTTCAACTCATTATTTTGATTAGAAAGCATGGGAAATTCCTAAAAAAAAAAACCAAAATACTCTGAAAGAGAAAGAGCTACATGCCTGGGCCTGAGCTACTAATAAGAATTCATGCGCACAAAATGAGCATCGCCCCAGCCGAACGCGCATGAAAATGCATCGTCCTCGATAAGTTCTTTGTGAGGGACAAATTCAACGTGACCGAGTTTGCTTCAATGAAATAGAGCAAGAAAATACCAAATGCGAGGGAGAATACTTACATCGCAAACTGGATTAACTGCGTCTTTTCGAGCTGATGCCGTCCTCGCGAGCGCAACAAGTCAACAAGGTTTCCATTGGCCATATACTCCGTCACCATATAAATATTGGCATCATCTAACACAACTCCAATCAAGGCCACTAGATTCCGATGAGACAGTCCTCTGTAAGAAAAAAAATTAGGGAATTTTATGTTCACTTCATGGTCCAAAAAAGGAAGGACTAGTTACTAACGACGAAGTGGTAATAAACATCACTCACACCATAAATCGCGATTCATCTAACAACGAATCCAACATCCCATTGCCGTGTCGCTTCGAAACTTTGACTGCTACCTTCTTGTCCTTGTAAAAACCTACCAACACATCTGAAACCAAAAGAATTCAACCATGATATAAAAAAAGGTTGTAAAAAGCCGCACCTCCAAATTCGCCGTGGCCTATAATGTCACCGAGACGGATGTCACCGGAGGGTATGACAAGACCTGCCTTGAGAAAAGCACTTGTACGATCTTCAATATCTGCATTGCTCGACGGAATACGATAGCTTTCACATATTATCGGAGTCACAAGCCGATGACATAACCCGTCAGCATCGCGCTTTATAACGTGCTAATTGGATATATAAGTATTCGCTTGGCAAGATAGAAAAAGCAACAAATGATGAATGCAAGAGAAATAGAGGTCAAGCTGCTCATACCGAGACTAACTGGGTGAGGTTAGCAAAGAACTCCTCATTATCACACGTGATTTGTCCTCCACTTTGATAAATTCTATAGTGCTCCACCTGAAAAAAATGAGTAAATCTACCAAACGATATAAGCAAGTCATCAAAATTACCTTTCCCCTATAAGCCATGGATAATGTGTAATCTCCTGGAAAATTGGTAGAATCCCTTATCAGGAATGTGCCGTCGGCTCTTTGATGCAGCATCCTGCAATGATAAGATTCCTCCTTCAGCGATAACTTTCATTTACGAATGAGAGACGTGTGGTTGTGTGGCACCTTTATGGATTAAAAGGTGCCAGACAATCACATACAGGCAAAGACAACCACATACAACAAATATAATTAAAGAGGGCTGAATGAATCTCTTTTTTTTTTCGACAAAAAAAGAAAAAAAAGAAAAAAAATGCTTGTATGGCCAAAGACAATGAAAAGCATTGGCCCTCGAATGCCGTTTATATTCAAGATGGCGACAAAAAAGACCCACGTCTAATGTGTCGAAGTTACGCCTACTACGTAACAGTTCCCATCACTCCATTTAGCTGTGCATTACTTATGCGGACTACCCTGATTTTGCACAATTTTAGTTCGAACAACTTGTGACTCAGATCGAGCAGTCAGTTTACCCTCTGAATATGGTACAATGTGATGGCACTAATAGCGCACCATTTAGTCAAAGGGTGAAGGAGTTCACGACTGCTCGAAAGCAAGATTAGTTGCTCACGGTGCAGGGCACACTCTGATAAACGACAGGGGTGATAGGATGGGAGCGCTGAGCATGGGGAGTGGTAGGTAACAGTCCAGTAAGATGGGATTAGAGTCAGCAGCAGAAGAGTATTACGGAACCCTACCCGCTGCGCAGCTAATGACCAGAAAGTGAGCATTGCTACCTAAATGTGAGGCTTTCACTGGGTGGAACTATCGACCCTGTTGGCAAATCTATGAAACGCTTCTAAAAACAATCATAACACTGCAAATGGATGCACCTAAAATCGGCTCCACTTAAACTCTCGTGCGTTTTAAATGTTTCAGCAGTTGACCTCAACTCCAACAACCTCGTTTCGCTAGGGGCGTCGTGTGGTGTGCACTCAGTACATGGAGTGCGCCAAGCAGACTGGTATAAGTGCCTGGAGTGGCGCAACACCTCCAATTTGCATCAATCCAATCGTAGAATCAAGAAACTCAATGGAGAATTTCACAAGGCTGACAAGCTACGCACCTCTCTGTTGCTTCGCGTGTAACGTTCGAGTGAAACCATGGCATATGAGAAGTGGCGACCACTTCACGTTCTCTAGTTCGAACGCCATCCATCGATGCAATCTCTTGAATGTGGTCCAAACAACAGCTGTTCCTATTCCCTAACTAGGAGTCGCACAAAATGGTGCCCATTCGATTTCTGAAATTAGAACAAAACTAGATGAATTCACTCAAAGAGAAATGCAATTGTCGAAAAACTCAAAATAAAATTTGATAAACGAGAGAGATACATAAGAGCGCTTTGATTTGTTCAACAATTAGTCAGAGTTGACAATGAGACACGCACAAGAAATTTCTGCTCAGTCAATAACCGAGAACGCAGTATGAATCGACACCCATTTCATGGCGAACTCACAAAAAGCAGGCGCTAACTACGTCAAAACTGGTCTCAAATGGCGCAACGCAGCATGGGTCACAACCGTTACCTAACAAAATGTCTGGCGCCTCAAAGCCGAAATTAATAGAAACCCACGCGCAATTCCTTCTGTATTCCACAGTAGGAAAAAAGAAAAAAGGAAGCATATTCTTACGCCTTGAGAATAATAGAAAGGATCATGTTTCAAGATTTAAGGTGAGGTGCAAAATTGACTGTTGGCTACAGAATTCTTCGTATGAGACGATGAATGCGACATATACATCCGTTATCTTAAACATTGTCATTTTGATTTATATGTGACGAGAGATAGAGGTAAACGATCGATTCAGCTGCTCTGCTGAAAGGAATGAGCTTCGGCGGCCGTCGCAAGACGGCGCGATTGGCACGTACCCGACCAACAACAAACTAAAGCGAACTGCAAAGCAGTC